TATATATATATATATATATATATATATATATATATATAAAGGCGCACCTTCAAGTAGTATTAAAAGATTTTGTTTTCAATCCTAAACATTTTTGTAATGGCCTTAAAATTTATTTTCATATGTAATTATAAAATTTATAGCTTAAAAAATAGTGTACCTCGAGCAGATCTATAAACACTCGAAGACTTTTGAAAATTGATAGTCTAGAAAGTGCATTACAAGATGCACTATTTCCAAAACTTGAAACCATTTTTCTCCTATTCATACATCTTGAGCTCGAGATAATCGATTCGAGGATTTTTTTGGCATCGAAACAAAATCTCTTTTAGTGAATTTTTGAGGTGCACCTTAATTGGATTTTTTTTTGCCTCAACTTTATATAAACGTTTTCCATATATATGATAAAAACCAAGGCTTGGATAAAATAAAATGGAAAGAAAATTAGTATAAAGAATAAAACAAAGCAAAATATCAAGATTTACATGGTTCAGCAAATTACTACATCCGTATAACATTCTTTTCCTTATCAGAAAAACACCATACAAGCATATAGAAAATACTAGGGTTTATAAGTTCTCCATTACAAGCCCTAAAACATAGTTTTTCTCTCTCTAGAACACCCACCCAAAGAACTACTAAAGCTCACCTTCCCTATAATTCAAACTCAAATGCGGGGCTAGCCCATGAGCAACCTCAGTCTATGATGTAATGAGCCAAGCTTGAGCACTATTTGTTAAACTCAATGAGCCAAGCCAAGCCAAGCTGAACCAGCCAATAAACATGCCAAGCTCAACCTTTTTGACATGCTAAACGTGAGGCCTTGAGCTTGTTTAATAAACTATTTATACACTATACATTATATATTATATTGTATAATATATCAAAATAATATACTACATACTAAATAATATATCTGATTGTATACAATGAGACCATTTATCTTTCATACATGGAGGTCACAATTACTTACAACCATCTAATGTGAAATCTGATAGCTTGGATGTGTCACAAAGTTTGAAAAAATTTCTTTTGGACTTTGAGCTTGGTCAATAAAATAACTGCAGCCACCCAATATCACATCAAGTGGTCAATATTAATTGTGACTACCTTGTACCAAAGGTAAATGACCTCATTATATACTTTCCCATTATATATTAACCTCGCCTCAAACAAGAAACTAAAGGTATTTTATTTATGATATATATGTTTTAGTATAGAATAAAACCATTTACTTTTGATACAAGATGGTCACATTAATCTTAACCATTGGATGTAAAATTGAGTGGCTGTAAATATTCTATTGACCAACTCAAAACTTAAAAAAAAAATTCTCGAACTTTTTGTGACACATCCAAGCTATCAACTTTCACATCAAATGATTGTAAATAATTATGACTACCTTGTATCAAAAGTAAATGATCTCATTGTATGCAATCCCATATTTATAGAGTACATTGCCTTGTTCGGGATTTATTTTTGGCTAGGCTAAGCTTCCTGAGCTAAACTCCCGCTTGGTGGCTCAGATTCGAGCCAAGGTCAAGTTGGTCTTCCATCCATACAAGGAAATAAATATACGACATGCTCTTAACACGAACTATATGGTCTTTATTGGTTGCGGACTGCTATTATAATACTCACAAAATGATGGGGTTTTTGTGTGTTTCTTAAATGACGACTATTTCCAAATTTCATCATGGACACAAACTTTGAACTTAAATTTCATGGGTCAATAATCTCAGCCACGGATCACGAATCTGGAAGGAAAAAAATGTAAATAACTATTTTATACTTTACTTTTGGACCACTGACGTAATTCTTTGCAAATCATCAGACCTGCACTATTCTTTTGAACTATAATATTATGATCCAAAGCAAAAATACATCTAAAATAACTTGCGTTTTAAATCGTAAAACCATCTCTTAAGGCCAATTTTTTGGAAGGAGGCCACATTTGAATAAACCAGCATTTAAACTTTTCCCTTCACATAAAGGGAATCATCATGCTGTCTTAATCGTCCCACTAAATGGTGCAATGTCATCTAGACCCGCCAATCTGACCAGATCGGACTGTGCATTCCCCCTCAAAAGTGACCGATCCACATAAGGAGAGTAAAGAAAGTGCATGCACACAGTGAGTGCATGAGAACATCATCCTGGCCTGCATAAGATCTCATAATTTGGGGTAGGGCACTAGTAATATTATTTGCAACAAGTGAGAATTCCTAGTGCCAACTTTCGAAGTTTCATGACAGAATGTTGAATACGAAGAAGGAATGGATTCATACCAAAGTATCTCACTGTAACTTAATGTCGCCAATTATACTTTTCAGGTACCCCAACTCCAGCAAATGAAAGCAATTGTTAATTAGAAAGGATATCAAAACACCTAAAAAGGCAGTCACCACAATACAGTATTAAGAGAAGGAACAAAATTCCGTTAGGTATCTTTTGGGGACCCCTTCTTGGCAGCCTCAACAGTTGCTTTCTCCGCTTCAATTTCTGAAACAATAGCATCAATTTCTAATTCCTCAAGTTGGTGCAGTCCCTCTTTGGTCATCACTGCAATCTCTATGTTTTTACCCACTTTCAACAACCTGAGGATCAACAAATGCCAGTCAAAAATTATGAGATGAATATCAATGTGATATGGTACATCTTCAAATTAGTATAGCAATGGAACGAGTCAATCAGCAACATACCGGAAGATTAATTTCAATAATGAACAGAGACCAAGTTTGATATGAAAAATAACATACAAACCAAACATGAAAAGGAAACACAAATTTATAGAACCACACAATTTTATATTTACATAAAATGACTACTATATCCAGTGTGTGCATGCGTGTGTGTGTAAGAGAGAAAGGACTTATATTAGGTAAAAATGACTCACAAGCTAAATAGTACCTACTGTTTTTTCCCCTATAAATTACCTTGGCGCAGGCCCATCCTGGCCCTAACCTCAGGCGTGGTTACCCGGACCTCAAGCCACATTTTGTGGCCCAGACCCTAGTTTCTTAGGGCCTTTATGACCGGGACGGGCCACCCGGCCCATTTCCACCCTTAATACCACAAAAAAAAAATGTATGTGTAGCATGTAAGGTGTCCAATAGAAAAGCCATGGCAATTGTCAATTCCACTTCGCCCCTTTCACTCATTTAATGTTGCTAATCACTTCACTTCTTTAATCCTAGTAGTACATCCTGTAAATAATCATGTCACTCCTCAATGAGTCATGACACCTCTCACAATGAAATGAGCATCCCAATCCATGATTTTTACAGGAACATCAAGCATAAACAAAACTAGGTTGTTCCCTAAAAGCGACATGCTGCAACGCCGCCCGGTTGCTGTGATAAGTATGCAAGGGTTCCCATGTCATTTTGGATGAGTGTGGGCAAAGAAGCTAGTCCAAGAGAATAGGATTCGTCTAGCCACATGAAATGTAGGAACTCTATCAGATAAGAGTATAGAGTTGGTGGATACAATGAAACGAATGAGCATTAACAAAACTTGTTTATAGGAAATCAAGTGGAAAAGAACAAAAACTAAGGAAATTAATGAATACAAACTTCGGTATATAGAAAAAGATAATAATAAAAATGGTGTAGGTATAATGATAGACAAAGATTTAAACGATAAAGTAGCAAGATGCTAAAGGAGTAGGTGATAGGCTCTTATTAATTAAACTTAGGAGAGAAAGTAATGAAATTAGTGCTTATGCGGCACAGGTAGAATTAGATGATAGAATTAAAATACAATTCAAGGAAAGCATGGATGGATTAGTCCAATGATTACCAAATGGAGAGAGGACTCTTTTAGGAGGGGAATTGCATGGTCAAGTAGGACAAAATAGTAGAGAATATGGAAGCGTACATGGTGGATGGATTTGGAGACAGCAATAAGATAGGTGATGCTACTCTTGCTTTTTCTATGGCTTACGATCAAATAATGACAAACACCTATTTTAAAAAGTTCAATGAAAAATTAATAACTTACAAAAGTGGATCATATAAAAATCAAATAGACTTTTTTCTAGTTAAAAAGGCAAAACAAGCATCATGCAAAGATTGCAAGGTTATCCTAGGAGAGAGTTTGATCACGCAACATAGGTTCATGGTTATGGATGTTTGCATTAAGAGATGGAAGAGGAGCGACATTAATGGGTGTCTAAGAACTAGGTGGTGGAACTTAAAAAGGGAAAAAATTACTTATTTAAGAATAAATTGATGAAAGACTGAATAAAATTTTGAGAATTGAAGTTAATGTTCCAAGAAATGAGATGGGTGATTGTATTAAGAAAGTGGCAAAAGAAGTTTTAGGAGAACATTTTGAGGATTGAAGTTAATGTTCCAAGAAATGAGATGGGTTATTGTATTAAGAAGTGGCTAAAGAAGTTTTAGGAGAACCTAGAGGGAAAAAAATTTCAGATAAGGAAATTTGGTTATAGAATAATGAGGTTCAAAAGGCTATTAGTGAAAAGCAATAATATTACAATGCTTGGCAAAATAATAGAAATTATTTACAAGAATATAGAAATGCCAAGAGGAATGTTGAAAAAATAATAAAGCAAAATTTAAAGCATATGATGATCTATACAATAAATTGGGGACAACATAAGGTAAAATGAGAGGAAGTGTAGGGACATAAATCATGTTAAATGCATAATCTAAGGGTGTTGGTGAAGATGATGAGGTCAATGAAAGGTGGAGAATCTATTTTCAGAAATTCTTAAATGACGACTACACTCGGAGCTCAGCATTAGGAGAAACCATTGACATAAATGAGGCCAAAGGTCATAAATACTTTCATAGGATTAAGATATCTGAAGCGAAAGAGGCTTAACGAAAGATAAAGATAGGATAGGCTTTAGGACCATATGGTATACTAATAGATGTTTGGAAGTGCATGGGAGAGATTGGAATATTCTAATTGACCAAATTGTTTAACAAAATTTTAAGAATAAAGAAAATGTCAAGTGAATGGAGGAAAAGTGTTGTAGTACCTATTTACAAGAACAAATGAGATTATACAGAATTGTACGAACTATTGAGAGATCAAACTTAGGAGCCACACTAGAAACTACAGGAGAGAGCAACTAAACAACGACAAAGACATGAAACAAGTATATCAGAAAATCAGTTTGAATTTATTACTAAGGAAGTCAATCATTGAGGCTATTTTCCTACTTAGGCAATTGATTGAGATATTTAAGAAGAAGAGAAAAGACCTCACATGGTCATTATTGATTTAGAGAAAGAATACGAAAAGGATATTTTGTGAGTGTTGGAAAAGAAAGGAATCTCAAAAGGATATATTTACATGGTGGAGAGCCAACTAATATGAGGAAAACTAGTAAAGAGACAAGTGAGCTATAAGTGCCAATAGGCCTACATCAAGGGTCATTGTTGAGCCCATATTTTTTTGCTTTGGTTATGGACAAGTTAACTCGGCATCTACAGGATGACGTCCCGAGGTGTATTTTGTTTGTGAATGACATAATTTTGATTGCTGAGATTAGAAATGGCGTGAACGCAAAGTTCAAACTCTGAAGGGATGCTTAAGAATCTAAAGGTTTTAAATTTAACCGGACTAAGATCAAATATATATGAAATGCAATTTTAGTAATAATAGGAGCAGAAATGAGAAATTAAATAAGATTGATAGCTGGAAAGTACCTAAAGAGGTTATTTTTTATGTCATGGTCGATAATCCATAAGAAAGATTGAAGAAGAAGTTGCTTATAGAATTCATGTTGGAGGGTCACACTGGAGATGTGTTTCTAGAGTCTAACGTGATCATCTCATACTAATGAAATTGAAGCTGAACTTCTATAAAATACAACTGGCCATGCTTTATGGGACAGAATGCTGGACATTAAAGAAACAACATATCTATAGAATAAGTGCAGTTGCGATGAGGATGTTGACATGGATGAGTAACAAAACAAGAATGATAGAATTCAGAATAGATACATTCAACGAAACTTTGGGGTAGCTCCAATAGATGATAAAATGAAGAAATGCAGACTTAGGTAGTCTAGTCATGTACAGCGTCGACCTAGAATAGCACTAGTTATGAGGGGTGATCTGGTTCAAATGGAAGGCCCTAGAAGAGAAGGGGAAGGCCCCAAAGAACATTGTATGTAAGTAGTAAGAAAAGATATGGTGAATGGCAGAACTAGATTCGTGTAGCCAACCCTAGAAAGTTGGGATAAAGCTCAGACGATAATGATGATCAAGCATAAGCAACAAATAACAATAATTACACAAACAAAAGTTCAATCATCTTTACAACATCTACTGAAGCAATCAAAAGAAACAACTTACGTAAAGATATGCCATGTCAAAAACATCTATTGAAGCAATCAAAAGAAACAACTAACATAAAGATATGCCTTGGCAAAAACTTACATAAATATATGATAGTTTTATATCATTTGGAAAATTGTTTTGTGGACTGGGCTATTTTTGCCAAGACAAATAGTAATACCTTGATTTTTGAAGAAGATGCATTTCTCCATAAAAAGCAATTTTTATTAAGGCATTCAACATCATCATCAAATGACAGAAAATCAGCAAATCAAATGCCAATCATAAATAATAACAAACACAGCATCCACCTGTTAAATTGAGCAAACTATGTATCATTATATAAGCACCAAGCAATCGCAGCAAAATACAAGGAATACCATGACATGCCACACGCTTGCACAGCACATTGTATTGTTAATTAGGACGTGTCTATGAAATAGGGTTTCCTGACAATGTTGAAGATCAGTCATAAATTTCGCCAAAAGAAAAGTATGGTTCAACTCGAAATAGTGAGTTTCTGAAGCTGATCACAATATTATCAAACAAATCTATAATACAAAGTGTTCACAAGTGGTCCTTCGAAATCATGTTTCTTGTGAACAAGTGATGCAGCCCAGACATTAATGCCATTCATATAGAGATGTCTAAAGAGATGTCTAAAGTTTAAACATAAGTTATGCTCCAAAGAATCCATACAAAAAAGGAAGGACTGACCATTTACTAATAACCCAATGAAGAGTGGCTGGAATACTGCACACTTGACAAAGTTTTAACAACAAAAGACTATCATGTGCCCTTTATACAAGAATATTCAACAGTTACTTCCAAAAAAATATGCAAAATATGATAAGGACTTGTTAAACATATCAAAAGGTAAAGACAGCAGCTTACTTCAAGAAGCGCAAGAATGGCCAGTTTGATAGTTTCTTGCCCTGAAGCTTCCTTGTAATTTTTCTCCAGAAATTCTCTCATTGAATTTGAGTTTCTCCCTGTTGCATTAGCTTTCCAGGAGGAAAATGTTCCCGAAGGATCTGTCTGATATAGCGAAGGAACACCATTATACGGGTCAAAACCCACAATTAAAGTTCAAAGTCCAAATGGTCTCACACCACCACTTTGTGTATACTTCTGCTGAAGACCGACAATATAACGTGTTATTTCAACAGTTACAGGTTCCTCAACAGTAAGCCTGTGACTTTGGCATTCAATGCGTGCCCTATTGATCAAAACCCGTGCATCTGCTCTCAGTCTAGCACAGGCCGATGCAATGTGGTTATCGAGACTCACTATCTTCCGAACAGATCTGCATAAACGCAAAGCTAAAAGTCATCAGTGCACAAGACTTCTATCATTCCCTGCTCCCAAAAATAAAGATATATTGGAGTCTAGAATCTCAATTTTACTCTAAAATAGAACTCACTATGGTAGCTTCGCACATGAGAAAAGACAAGAACCACAGCACGACAAATTTGGTAGAACTCAAACATCAAACAATGTTAATTACGCAAAAATCAAAAATAGTGTACACACATTCATATGTGTGTTTGCATCCACCTGCTTAACATACCTATGTACATGGCAGTTATTTATATGCATGCCACCAATGTTCAAATCTGCGCCTGGGCATTTTAGGGGCCTGGCTGCCTAAGCGGCCCCGATCCCGCCCACCCAACCGCCCAGGAACAGGGACGGGTAGGGACTATTCACATAAGAATTAAGATATAAGTTATAATAATAAATTTATTAATTAATATCTATAAGTTTTGGTTTTGCATATCAAATATTCACAAACTATCAATTTCATCCAAAGTTTATGACTATTCACAAAATATAAGTCCAAATTGGTAAATATTTCAACTATAAATATGTAAAAATATCAAAAAAGTAAAACAAAACTAATAGGATAACAAAACATCACATATTGTATAAAATAAGAACCAATTATTCATAAAAGAATTCAATAAGGGACCAATTTCATCTTCCAAACAAGTTAATAATCAATTAATCACAAAAAAATCAATCTTTCAACTACAAACACGTCAATATATCATAAAAGGAAACAAAAGTTCAAAAAAAAAAAAATCAAATAATTAAAAACTATACGTTATAGCAAAAAAATCAAAACCCTTATTCAAATATCATAATGGCATAATGCTCTAAAAATATCAAAATGAAAATGATGTCGGTCCAAACCTCATCTATTTGATCGCCAAAAGTCTTCACTAATGACCACTAGAAGCGTCGAAAACTACCACGAAGCATTACCTTTGATTTCGGAGGAAGTCAAAAAAATCAAAAATTTATCGACCTTTCTATAAATCACAAAATCGAGGTTTTTGGGGAGTTTTTATCTCTCTAGATGGTACGGATTTGGTTTTGGGGGTTTAGAATGTCCCTCAAAACCATAGTTACCGAGAACGGGAAAGTGAGGAGTTCTGGGAACGAGAGCGTAGAGCGAGTCTATCTCGAAGTTCCCTAGACGACAGAGAGAGCTCCATACATGGTCTGGGGAAGGGAACGAGTTTCATGACTTATAGGGAGCGCATTTCTATATGGACGGGAGCAGGTTTCATACCATACGGGATCGCGTTGTGTCGTTCTTAGGATCAGGGTCTTCGGAGTTCATTATTTCAAGTATATTGTAAACTGAGAGCCAGTTCCATTTTTTGGTATGCTAATAATGGGCTCTTGGGTGGATAGAGAGAGTGGGAACGAGAGCAGGGGGAATGGATAGAGGAGTGAAGTGTTACAAGTTATGCATCTTTTCTACCAACGTTGTGCTCTAATCAACCCTAATGCCCAAGAATGTCATCCCAAATATGAATATGAAGATATGGTTGCATCATTGTTTTTCGTTTTCCCTTCTTTGCCTATAGGATTACAGTGATTAACTTTAGAAGATTGACAAGAAAAGTCATTGAGTGTTTAAGATGGTGTGAGTTCTTAGTGTTCGGGGCTGCAGGTCCTTTAACATTATTTGGATTCATATTCTTTACACACAAATGGTATACATGCCACAACCAATGGCCATCCACCCACTATCACCCTTTCTTATCTCACCTAAGCAGATAAACATCGACATAACGATGGTACACAAACACAACATGATCAGTTCAGTATTACAATACAATTATGGTTTACAATGTGTAGCCCATTTTGACTGTACTTGGAGACTTGTATATAATATTACCTTATTTCGTTAGAAATGCACCATTAACTGATTGTGCAACACATTAATAGATTGTGTAACACATCCTTTTTACCGTAATGAAGTGTATTGATCGTGTTCAATAAATTGGAAGGCTAACTTTTGAACCTCCTTCCAATCGTGTTGCTACTCTAGTTGCCTTTCTTTAAAATTGGACAAAAATGTCATTGCAAAATGCATGCATCGTAGAAAAATTGAGGAAAATAGAATACCATACACGAATAAAAAAACTTTATAGGTGCACCTCACTCCCATGGTATAGGATACTCAGTTCTTGGTATGATGGAATCGTGGTTCCGAATGATATTGGGGCCATGATCTTGGGCATGGGATCTGGATCCCGTTTGCTAGGGACCTTGTTCCCAAATAATAGGAATCGAATTTCGATAACTCCAGATACGAGATCCGAATAAGCAAGGAAGTGCTTGGAATCGAGATCCGGTCACTCGGAGCGCGGGATCAAGATTCTGGGACGAAAGGGGACCCCTACATGGGCACTCCCGATTACTATGCCCAAAACCCTTTTCCCTACTTTTGGCGGGGGGGTGTTATTATTTTGACAATAACCGACGGAATTTTTCTGCCCTCAACAACCTCCATCGAGGTGGGGGGCCTAGGCAGCAGCTGCTTTGACGGTAGCGCTTAGGCGACGCCTTGCCGGGTGCCTAGACGTAAGCAACCTAGGTGCCCCAACTAGGCTCCACCTAGGCATTTTAGGCGAATGGCTGCCTAGGCGGTTGGGCGACCGAATTTTCGAACACTACATGCCACACACCTTATGTGGCCCATCAATACACAGAACATGATTTATACCAAATGTTCCACGTTGTCATTTACATCATCCAATGGTAAGGTCTGGGAAGGGATATTTGCTTCTAAAGAGTGTGAACCATGTTTGCCTACTCCATGCAGCCACCAGCAGCAGCAGCTCTCGAGAAAGAAAAACATAGTTAATTGAACATACAAAATACATGTTAGAGCAATTTTGTGAGTGGACTACCAGTCCTTGCACCAAGCTGCTCCACTGGGCATCCGCATAAAACACCTTACAGTAGTTTCACACTCATGCCAAAAAACAGTGATTACCATAAATCCGGGGCCACACCAAACACCCACAGCACAATGTTGTGGCATACATGATCCATTCAAACACACCCTTAGTGAATAACGAAATGACCTGATTTGTGCGACTCAGTGTACAAATTGAAGTTCAACCTAACCATGAAACATCTAGTTTCAATTTTAACAAAAATCTACAGGACAAAAGACATACACATACACAAATATATGCAGATACAGATACATACCATCAGCGTTTCAAAAAGCGCTAGGCAGCACCCAGGCGGTCGTGGGGGTTCAGGCCACCCAGTGCCTAGGCGGACACCCAAAAACTGGGCGGCCCAGTTGCAAGAAAATAAAAATAAAAATAATAAAATAGATAGAAGTCGAGAAGAGAATTTTGATAATCCATAAAACTAGAATCTATATTTTCATTCAACGCTAAAACAGTAAAACCATACAAGCATACACTGATAGTCTGATAATACACTGTAAACTGTACACGAAAAAGTTAGATACAGTCTAGGACACAATAGTCAGAAAATATACAGTCTAGGACACAACAGTCAACACTCAACACCAAAAGTCTTCAGTCATCATCATTGTCATCAGAAGGAATAGGGTAAGCCCCATCATATGCATTAGATTCGAGGCCATCATCATCAGAATCATCTCCCACTTCAATATAACGCTCGTCCTCCTCGGTTTCTTCTGAATCTGCATCTTCCTCCTCGGTTTCTTCTGAATCTCCATCTTCCTCCACTTCTTCTTCTACCTTCCTCTTACAAGTATGTGCAGATGAGGCCCTAGGAGTCTTGGCTGCTCTACCCTTTTCTATTTTTTTGTGCTTCCCTAAACTCAAATATTGTATAATCTCCTCCTCGGTAGCCTCGAGAACATTTTTACATGGGGTAACATCCCCCTTAATACCGGTAAGGTATTTTTTAAAACCGGTAAATGCCGCCATGAGTATCATTTTCATAATAATTACATTTAATACGATTTTTGTCATTCGGATTCAGGTTATAACCATACTTTCAACTCAGATCACCACTTATAGAAGAACATGGAGAAGATATTTTCATAGAATAAGGCTCATTTTCATCCTTTTCTGGTTCTTTACTTCTTTTAAATTCAAAAATTGTCTAATCTCATCATGAATAGCTTCAGTAACCTTTTTACATGAAGCAACATTTCTTTTAATACCGGCACATTCTTTGTAATACCGGCAAGGTGTTTTTTGAATCGGTTAATACCCCTATTGGTATCTTTTTCACAAAAATTACACCTAATATAATTTTTATCGTTTGGATTTGGATTATAACCATACTTCTAACCCGGATCACTTCTTCTAGAAGAATCAGAAATAGATCTCTTCATATAACAAGGATTTTGTTCCTTTTTTTATATTACATAACTCATATATTCCTTAATCTCCTCTCTGATACCTTTAGGAACATTTTTACAAGGGCAACATCCCCCTTAATACCGGCAAGATGTTTCTTAAATCGATTTATGCCCCATTTTGTATCTTTTTCACAATAATTCCATCTAATGCAATTTTTGTCATTTGGATTCGGGTTATATCCATATTTTCAACCCAAATCTCCACTTCGACTAGATCCTGAAGAATACATCTCAAAATAAGATAAGCAATCTAAAAAATAAAGTTTTGCACTTAATTTGATAGCTCGAACTCCAAATTCTCACCTCTGGTATGTTTTTTAGTTTTAAAATAATCAAAAACACCCTCTAATAGGATTAAAAACATCCAAAACTAAATCTAATCTACATGGGTGATGTTTGGATCTATTTTTCGTAACTTTGAGAAACACTTCGATCCAATGAAAATCACAAAATGTAGGTTTTTTTAGGTTTCTTTCTCTCTAAAATGGGTTCTTGTGGGTTTAGGTTTCAAATGAACCTAAAACTCATCCTTAAAAGCCTTTATGTTTCAAACAAACTCAATAGAACAAAAAAAACAACTCATTTCCCCCTGAAGCGAGGCACAGGCCCTGGGTGCACAGGGATGGCGT